GTTTGAGATAAAGACAGTTTAATAGGTAAAGCAAAAGCCACGCACGCAAGCAAAGCAAAACAAGGAATTCATTCACCACGTCCCATGGGCAGGCAGGTGTTCAGCCATCTCCAGGGAAGCAGGGCTCCATCATGTGTAACAGTATCTTGGGAAGACAGATGCCATCACTCCAAACGTCCCTCCACCCCTTCCTTCTTCTTCGTCCCAGCTTTATATACTGAGCATGACATCACATGGTAGGGAATACCCCTTTGGCCAGCCTGGGTCAGCTGTCCTGGCTGTGTCCCCTCCCAGCTCCCCGGGCACCCCCAGCCCACTCGCTGGCAGCCCAGCACGAGAAGCTGGACTGTCCCTGACTGCTCAGCAACAACCCAAAACATCAGCACATTATCAGCATTTTCTCATCCCAAATCCAAAAAACAGCCTCACACCAGCTTCTGTGAAGAAAATTAACTCTAGCCCAGCTGAAACCAGGACAAATGTATACATATTTTTAGAAACCTGTAAATGTTTAAGCTGGAAAACGCTATGCCATAAAAGGTGTAAAGAGACAGAATTACCAAATAAAGAGGGTCTTCCTGCACTATCACTTCTACTTAAGATCCGTGGTCATAAAAATTCATCAGCAGACCAAAAGTGTTGTCCAGGTTTTCTGAATCTGTATTTTTAGCGGAGGGGAAGGATCAAAAAGAGGTTAACTTTTGTTTGCATGCGGGGTAGCGTGCATTCATGGCACTTGAGCTACCCCGGAGTGAGCCGCAGCGCGTGCTTAGCGCAGCGCAGTGACTCGCTCAGTTGCTGCACGCAGTTCGAGGGTGGCGAGCTCTGCTCGGAGGCCGGCGTTCGGCACGCCTCGTTAGCCGCGCTGCTCAGCCGCTGGTGCGCTGCTGCTCTTTCTAAATCTGGCTTGTTTAAAGCCAGGCCAGGTACCTCTACTGCCTTGCACAGTGCACCCGTGCCCTGGCAGCTCCCTGAGCAGCGTTGAAATATCTTCCCCGAACAGTCTTTGAGGCAGGCCCCAAGATACTTATCTGACCTATTGCTTTGTTCTTACACGTGGATACTGCAAACATTGCTGATACAGTGCAATGTACAGAGGAAAAATGAGCTCTGCGATAAGTTTGGTTTTGTTCTTTCCTCAGCCATCCGGTACGACGGTGTTAATGTGTTTGGCTACACGGTCTGGTCCCTCCTGGATGGCTTTGAATGGCACAGGGGATACAGCATTCGGCGCGGATTGTTTTACGTTGATTTTCAAAGCCATGACAAGAAGTTGATGCCAAAATCTTCTGTCTTGTTCTATCAAAAGCTGATAGAAAAAAACGGCTTCCCACCTTTGCCTGAAAACCAACCCATAGAAGGGATTTTTCCCTGTGGCTTTGCTTGGGGAATTGTTGACAACTACATTCAGGTGAGTCTGATGATAAAGCCGACAGGCTGTCCAGCCAGATCAGTGCTCAAGTTCATATTGATAAATTTGCTGGATGAAGTGTCTTTGCTGATACGTATTACCACGGTGCTGCAAGGAGATGGGTAAAAGGCTTTTGGGCCAAAGACTCTGTCTTTCAGCCCTCACTAGACTTTCTGTGTATGACCAAGGAGATCCAGTCAGATTGAGATACAATAAATAACATTTTAGGAATACATACGGAAATTGAAAGGGGTGTGATGCTCATCTTCCCTGGACATGTTATGTGATCAGTTACTGGAAGTCACTCCTTTTCAAATGGAAGTTGATTATATCTGCTAAAGTGTATTTCCAAATATCCATGTCTATGAAATGGGAAATAATACTGCTTTTTCATGTCCATAATTTTAATGGTAATATATTTGTATGCTGTGATAACATATGTTTTAGAAAACTTCCTGAAAGCTCTTAGATCTCCAATGGCATGTTTCTACATCTTATGCATATACATTCAGGTACTGTTGCTAGAGAGCTTTTATGTAAAAAAAAGTCAACAATATTAGATTTAGATTAAATTTCTCTACTCCTTTCTTATCATTTTGTGCAGTACTGTGTCAGTGCCCCTGGATAGCACTGAGTTAGATCATGGATCCAATTCATAGCTATCACTCTTTTTATTTTAACTAAATCTGATACTTCAGGAGAACCTTTCAAATTTTAAGACTTCATAGCATGTGTAAAAATTGTAGCTTAGTTACGGTCTCTTTAACAGTTTGGCTCTGTAATTTTCAGATGCTGTTTTGGCTTGCAGGCCTTCTCTAACCACAGTAAAGAGGTGTAGTTAAATTCAGCACTGAGGCTGGATCCAAGAATAGAAATTTTTAATTTAAATTTTCCACAAAGGCATAATCTTTCTTAATTCTAGTGTACAAGGGGCTTATTTGTTTTTTCTCAGTCCAAAAGTAAGATCTGACTTTGTTCTCTTGAAAAATACTGCAACCTCCTTACCTGGTACACCGATTTCCAAGAAAAGTAAACAGTCATTATCCTCCTAGCACCCAGATAGGTTAGGAATTGGAAATGGAATTGCTGCCTTTGGGATCGATAAGAGCTATAAAGTTGCGGAGTCAGTCATCCTAAGACAGTGAAAAAATCCCTCCCATCCCCAAAACCTCCAAAGCTGAATATTTTCATTTCAAAAGGCCGTTCAAACATTTTGTGCTGTAAGGCTTAGGTAGCGTGATTTGTAGATGAATCAGAGTTGAAAAACTCTTTTGACAACATTCCCACAGTATTAGTGGCAATGCATGCTTTAGTAATCTACAAGGGACAATTCTCCAGAAAAGCAATTTCCCTCAGACATGCTGTTTTTTATTACTTTCTTCTATAAGCACAGTACTGACCTCTCCGGAGAAAATAGCAACTGATTTTCAGCAGCTTCTTTATACAGTCTGCAGAGCCTCGGCTACAAGTTGAACACTGGTTGTAGGCTGACACCTGCTTTTCAAACAGAGGGCAGGACAAGGAAATCTGAACTCAGGGGGAACCTTGCACCAAAGGGAAAAAAAAGAACAGATAAACACAGGTGGGACCAGTATCTTGTAGTCTGGGTTTTTCTTGTAAGAGTTACGCTAAAGTATGAATGAGGAGATTTTATACTATGCATTATTTTTAAGTAATTCATTTTTCCATTTTCTAGTCGTTACTGTGATATTCATTAAAAAGTGAAAGTATAATTCTGTGGGACCATGAGAAGTTCATCTTCTACTGTGTCCGGTATATCACACAGGCAATTCTGACATCTGAAGCCCTAAAGACTTATGGGAAATGCATTTATTGTTGGAGTTACATATAGTGGGTTTACTTGGAGGCCCAAAGAAAATTGATTCAGACGTCAACAGACTGCTGAAATAACTTGGAAATGAGTTCAGTATGAGTTAAATAAAAAAGAACGTCTTTAGCAAGAGGGAAAAATTTTGCTTGTCAACTGAATTTGTGCTAAAAATCAAGTGCAGAGCATTACTCATCTTTCATCATAGTCAGGAAAAGAACTGAACACAGAAATGATGTTGCATTCATTATTTCTTTTACTGCATTCAGGGAGTGGTCTTGAAACTGAAGCTACTGGGTAATTTACAACAGACAGTCTGTCTGTAGGCCCTTTGGTATAGCTTCTCAGTTTTGAAAGAAAAACATTTTAAAAATTACTGTAGTCTTTGCTGAAGATCTGCTTCTCTGGAGATCTGTGGCGGGCTTAGTGCCTCATTGCTGAGCAATCCCTTGTTTCCCATACAGACTGAAGCAGTCTGGAGAAGATACAAACATGGTGACCATTAGCATAAGCTTGTTTGGAACGTAGGATGAAAATGATACGTAGATTTTGTACTTTTCTGACCTCACATGTTAACAGAAGAATAATTCATTCATATGAGCCAGAGATGTTATCGTATCAGAGATGCGAGAGAGATGCTAAATGCAATGTTTTGACTTGCGATATTCTTTCACTACATTGTTCCTGATGGTTATGATGTTCCCACCTACCTAGAACAAACAGCTCAAATCTGGTATGTTTCTTATTCTACCTAGGTAGACACGACACCCGCCCAGTTTCTTGACTCTAATGTTTATGTGTGGGATGTTCACCAGACGAAAAAGCTTATTAAAGTGGATGGAGTTTTCACCTCGAAACGCAAGCGTCACTGTGTTGATTTTGCTGCTATCAGGCTCCAGATCTCTCTTCTGCAAGAAATGCATGTCACACACTTCCATTTTTCACTGAAATGGTCTTCAATCCTTCCTTTAGGTAACCTTTCTCTAATCAACCACACACTTGTACATTATTATCAGTGTTTTGCTAGTGAACTTCTCAGAGTTAACGTAACTCCTGTTGTTGCTTTATGGCAACCTATGGCCGAGTATCAAGAGCTTCCAGTTTCCCTTGCCAAATACGGAGCTTGGGAAAACCCAGAAACTGTTCAGGCTTTTGTTCAGTATGCCAAATTCTGCTTTACAAATCTTGGGGACCGTGTCAAATTTTGGATCACAATGAATGAACCGCCTGTGAAAAACTTGACATACACTGCAGGGCACAACCTGTTGAAAGCCCATGCAAAAGCATGGCATCTTTATGACAAAGAATTCAGGAGATCTCAGAAGGGTAAAATATCTATAGCGCTGCAAGCTGACTGGGTAGAACCAGCTTGTCCCTTTTCCAGGAATGACCAAGAAGTTGCTGACAGAATTTTAGAGTTCGACATTGGCTGGCTTGCAGAGCCCATCTTTGGAAATGGTGATTACCCACAGGTGATGAGAGCATGGCTTCACCGAAGAAACAGTGTTGACCTGTATAATTTCCACTTGCCTTATTTCTCAGAAGATGAAAAGAAGTTAGTCCAGGGCTCATTTGATTTTTTTGCCTTGAGTCACTACACTACTACCCTCGTGGGCTGGGAGAAAGAAGATGCACTAAAATATGACCACTATCTTGAAGTTCAAATGATCAATGACATCACATGGCTGCATTCCCCCAGCAGAGCTGCAGTAGTGCCCTGGGGACTGCGTAAATTGCTCAAGTGGGTTAAATCAAAGTATGGCGATGTCCCAATTTTTGTTATGGCTAATGGAATTGATGATGACCAGAATATGGTGCATGATAAGCTCAGAGTGTATTACATACAGAATTACATCAATGAAGCTTTAAAAGGTAAGGATCTGTAGATGGCTTATATGTCACAAATCCCAGTATTAGTATACACTGTGTGATAGAGTATGTTTAAGAAAAGAAACCCTACCTAGAATACTCCATAAATGAGATGTTATTACAGCGTAACAGATAGTTTTTCCTTTGATTTATGATTAATTGGTGTTACTAAACATCAGGAAGACTGACCTTTTACATATTCTGCGTAAGACAGAAGAAGAAACTTTTTATGGATTCAAGAAATTTAAGTAGGTGTTATGTGAATAGCTACACATGTATTTAGTTAGATTTTCTTCCTAGTGCATGCCTACTGTTCTTTTGCTTTGTTGCCTCTCTCTGCTGATGTGCCTCAGGGCTGGGTATGAGTTCTGTTCCTCAGCTGTCTCTGTATCTTATCCAACAGTGATCTTGGCTCTTCATAATAATTCAGCTATCTACCTCATGATACCATTTCTTGGACTCTTTCCTGCTATTCAGAACCCAAACCAGTCTTTTTCTCTGACTCAGTGATTCATAATTTATAAGGGAAAAACGAGGCATTTTGAGTCATCCTGTCATACAACACCCACTATTTTTTTTTTTTAAAAGCACAGGACTTGAATGAGATAATTTTTACTGATAAAGAAATTTCTACATCTCACTGTAAGCTGTTGCAGTGGCTAATTATTTACTGGTTTTAGATATAAGTGCATGTATAGATACATAGAAATCTTACTTCTAATATTAATTTTTTTGGCTTCAGCTTTAAACCATTTTGTTGGTCGTTTGCATCTATTTTACCTGTGCAGGTATTCACAGACAGAAAACAAGCTCGCTCTCATTTATCTCTCTGATAAATAGCATAGATGAGGCTCTTTGTGTCCCTTACTATAAAACATCATTTAGAACCTTTCAATTATTAAACTTTTACCCGTTTGCCAGCATTCTTCTTGAGAGGGATAAACCCAGACTTGGACACACTGTTCCTGTCACACACCTATATCTCAGACAGGTATAATGTAACCTCTTACCCTTTTACTCCTCTTTCGCACATCTAAGCAGCCCATTAGCCCTTTTGGCCACGGCAGCAGGTTGGTTACACACACTTTGTTGTTATCTGCTGAGATGTCAAACTCAGTTACAGATTCCTGTGCCCGAGGCAGAACTTCCTCTTCTAAAGTGTGGTCCACTTGTTCTTTGACATCCTCACATTTGGTCATGTTCAAATGCCAGTTGCTTGCTTGTGCAAAGCTTGCTACACTAACTAAATTATTTCCGTAATCTTTGTATTATTTGCAAACGTTGTGAGGAATAGTTTTACTTTTCTTTCAGGTCGCCAATATACTTAAGATCATTAAATATCTTAGTGCTAAAAGCTAATCTTCATGACCACGGTAGAAATACACCTACCATGACACTTACTTACCCTGCAATTATGTTTCTAGACTTACTAGTTCTATTTGAAATCAGATGAAATCTGTTTATTATGGGCTCCCCTTGAACTCATAAGATTCTATTTTCGTGATCCAAATGCCTTATAATACCAAGTCAGTTGCCTTGTGACGTTCTAAGTATATTACAACAAACATCATTACTTTTATTGATCTGCTAATCTCATAAAAAAGATGTTGTTAATTTGACAAGATCTATTTTTCATACAGCTAAGATGATTGGCATTAATCATACATATCTCAAGCCTTATATAATCGATTCCACTCTTTTGCTAGGTAGTGAAGGATGGCTGGCAGTTCCATAATTTGCTACGTCATCCTGTCCACTCTGTTAAGTATTGGCTTTAATTTCCTCTGTAATTTCCACCTCTTTCATGAATTACTGAACACAAATATTAAGTGACCAAGAGTTCCTTCTCCAGCTTTTTGAAGCACTGGATACATGTTTTCTACATCTGTAGTTAAAAACATATCTTGGCTATACTTGGGCTTATGGTTTCAATCTGTTTTTTCTGTATTACATCTCTCCTTCCTACCACTTTAGATCATACCAGTTCTTGGCACTTCTGTTCTCAAAGTATGTATGGATATGGGCTTTTCTCCCAGTTCTTGTTAGCCAGAACACGTGCACATCCCCCCATTTTTTACAGAACTTTGTCATTCGTACTGATCTGGTATCAGTATCCCCCAATCATTTCCTTCTCCCCTCTTCTATCCAGCCTGGAAATAGCTTCTATGTTTTTCAACTTAACCATTGCATGTAAGCCATATTTTCCTATCTTTCCACCTTCTTTGTCATAGATGAATATGTCTGTGTTAACTAGCCATAGTACTTGCCCTAAAGCTCATTATCCCACTTTTGACATCATACACTCCTCCATTGTGTTTGGTCTGTCAGTAATACCAGCGTTTTAATTTTCTTTTCTTCTCTCGCTCTGGTATTGTGCTTTTGTCCATCTTGTCCTTACACAGGGAGCAAGATCTTAACCTTGGCATCATGACTGATCAAGGTTTCTCCAAAACTTGCATTTTTTTTGCAAGACCCTGTGCAGTAACTGAGATGAATTAGAGATCTTGTGTCCTTGCCTCAGTGTCACGCTGGGGAGGAATGAGAGGAGATTTGGTATATGTGCTCTCGCCTTAAAGTCCCTGTTTTGCCTTCTTCCTCTAACTGGTCTCAGGGACTGCACGTGGCAGCATTTGTGCATGTAATGTTGCTTACGTGCATTGTTCCAGGGGAGCCAAGAGGTTTGTGCTGATAAATGATTCCAGAATACAGTACGGGACCCTTTGGACAGAGGCTATATTTTTAAGTTCTTTGTACACTGTTTAAGTACATCTTTGCCAATTGAAAACAAAGAACGGCAGTAACCATTTATGTAACACCATTAAATCCACAAGCGGTTTTACAAACACAAACTAATTATCCTGGGTAGCAGCTCTGTAAAAGGGCAGGCAAATATTATTTCTTTTTACACATGAAAAAGTATGTTAGAGGTGCTAAATGTCTTGCATGTGGCTGCAGAAAGAATTATGTTCAGAGGCACATGAAAATTCAGCAATTGTTAGCTTTCAGTCCTGTGTTCATCTGATAGATGTTGCTTTCATTTGTTAAAAATAGTGATTTTGAGAGATAAAATATTACAGTTTGCATTTACTACTATGCATTGATGGGTTTTGTTAAGCAGGACTAATGGCTCAAGGTTAATGCTCCAACTGCTGGACCTCTTCCAGTAGCCAGGTTAGCACTGTGGACATGTTCTCAACAAAGACTAATACAGGTCATCTTGGATCAGAAACTTGGGTCAATAACGAGAGGACTATGATCTGCATAACCTTTCCACTTGCACTGGTGATATTCTAGTACATGACCTTAGAATGGACACATCTTTTTCTGGTGTCACTGTGCCTTTGTTAGTGAGAAGGTGTCCTCTGTTCCTCGACCATCCCCATCAGGAGGTGCTCTGCAAGAGAGGAGGAGGAATCAGAGAAGCAGGTTGCAGAAATCCAGGTGCAGGAAAACCAAAACCTGTATTCTTTCATACATAAAGAGCCTTCTTTTCATGATAAGCTCCACACTGATCATTAAACACAATCATGCACTCACAGCTGTGCTTACCAAGCACAAGGAAATAAATTGCGGGGTACTCACAGATCACACTGGCAATGGCTGACAAATTTTTACTTTTTATGACAAACGCTTCATAGATGTACATGTACTTTACCTTCTTTTTGAGAAGAGAAGTGCAGATGTGGGTTTAACATGCCCTTGCCCCTGCTTTATGTACTGGCATATGGTACTGCTCTTGAAGTCCAAAATGTCATTTATTAATTTCTTCAACACATTGTTTTCTTTCGCAGCTTACACCTTGGATAACGTTAACCTGCAAGGATATTTTGTCTATTCTTTTAATGACAAGACTGCTCCTAAATATGGTCTCTACAGTTATGTTGCAAATCAATACGAACCAAAGCCTTCTATGAAACATTACAGAGAAATAATTGACAATAACGGTTTTCCTGGTCCTGAAACTCCTGAGTTGCTGTGCCCAGAAGAGATTGCCTCATGTTCTGAATGCCACTTCTTCCGAACCAGAAAATCATTATTAGCCTTTCTGTCTTTCACATTTGTTGCTTTTATTGTTACTATATTCTTCATTACTTACTACTCCAGGAGGGTAGAAAGAAGGTATAAATAGAGCTGCCCCTTCGAATACATCACTCGCTGCCCTTTCCCTTCCATCCCCTTGGGAAATCTGAAATAAGAGCGCACAATGTCATGACTGCTTCAGCACTAGGAAGGCATTTACATTGCCTGATACTGCAGTACATTGACACAGGGAAGAGATTGCTAGCATATGGCTTCCAGAAATCGTTCTCTCTGGTTTAATACATTTGGTTTATGACCAGTCCTTAATTCCTGTGGTTGGAATTATCTCATAACTTTCCCTGGGACCTTTTGTTGAGCAGATGCTTTCCCCTTCTTGTTTTTCCCTCACTGAGTTGGACAGGTAAAAGGTATGTTTTGAAGACATGGAGTGATGGAAGAGCCTGAATGTCAAATTCTCCAAGAGAAGATGGGGGAGAAACAAAATAGTTTACTTTTGCAAATTAGGATTTAATGCTGATGTTGTGTGATCAGAGCCAACACCTGACTGGAGCAGGGAATATGACTGAGCAGAGACGGAGAAGAATTGCACAAAGCAGCAGCAGGGGAAAGGACACCCCCTTTCCTAAAGCAGGTGCGGAGGGAAGAAAAGGAGGACACAAGTCTCTGCTGCTGAGAGCTCTCGGTAAATTAGTTAACTGCTACTCAGTTTGCTGACGGCTGCATCTGACTTCAGGATGTCATTGGGGAACTTCAGCTCAAGGAACTGTGTCTTTTTCAGTGGGGAAAGCAGGAGGGGTGTGTCCAGGGATTGCAGGGGTCATGCCATCTGATAGGAAGAGATGGGAAGGGTGAAAAGGCTTCTCTTTGGTTTGCTCAGTGAAAAAGCAGAGAGCAGGAACTGGGATGTCCTTGCTGTCTCAGTTGTCAGAAAACTGTGTGCCTGACCCTGTGCCCTGTTGCCCTGTACCCATGGACACAGCAGGGCTGGGGCACCCCGTTTCTGCACTCCTCGCAGCAAGTTCCACACAGCTGGCACTCCGCTGCTGCCCGGCTACTTACCTGCTGGGTGATTTACTTAACTTGTGGGTAATTTAGTAAGATGGTCTCCGCATGCCATTTGTGTTGAGCATGGAGACTTTAAATCCCAGCATCTTGGCGTGATAATCCAGCCCTTTGTTGCTGCTTTTGCCAGGGTCGGAGATCTTGGAGCTGTTGCTCCAGGCCCCTTCCAGGTTGGCTGGAGGGTCTCCTTTGAGCAACTGAATCTGTCCCTGGCAGCATTTCATCCCGAAGTATTGCTGAACGTCTGCGGGCCTCTCATTTTTCTCTCAGCAAGGTAAATTAGCAAAATACTAGCAACACTGTTTATTAGTAGGAATAGAGAGAGAATGGAAAAAATCCTACGTTATTTTGCCTGCCTGGTGAATCGCTACATTAGGAGTGTCCTCGGTATAAAGCAGTGAGGTCATTTTTCTCCGCTCTCTAACTCTAGGCCTGCATCGCCTTCAGCGGTAATTGTATTTTTATTGCTATGTGAATAATGTCAGTCACTGGAAATAATATTTTAAAGGAAACGTGCTCTGTGTTAATTAAGAATTATTTATCTACTAAAGCTGATTATGCTGTATTAAATGTGATGTTTATCTACTAGATGACTAGCAGATGACTAAATGACCTGCCAGGGTTCCTTTCAACCTGAAGACTCCATGATTCTGTGATTCTATACTGTAAATTAAAATTTACGTATGAAATATGATTTTCATTTGCAATTTAAGATTATATTTTTTCTTAAATAATCTATAGAAATAGAAAAGAATTAGTATCTTATAATAATGATTAATATATTTGTCTTCTAGTTCCAATCTTAAAGCAGTCTCTCTTTGCACTAATGTATATTTTGGTATTGAGATTAAGATCAAAAGTTCAGGGTAAGTGATGAAGTATTAAAAATATATATCAAAATTATTTATAGCCTGATAGGACTGCTGAAGAAGACCAAATTTTAAACTGCTGTATATTTATGCATTGGTGCCTGCGTGGATTACAAAGAAATAGCTCTCCCTAAATGTATGAAATGCCAAATGGCTTTCTCCATGGCATGGCAATGAATCACCTTGCAATACATTACTCCGGTAGTCAGATGCCTTCACAGTATATAACAGAAAGTGACATCCATTTAATATAAACTGTAGCCAGGTCATGCCTAACTTGTATGTTATGTGTGTGCGTGTATGTATCTTATAATCATTTTTTTGTTGGTAAAACGAAAAGATTCCGGAGCTGATCTTTCTGAGAAGCTGAGCGTATGTGCCTCCCCTGGGTTTGAGGTGGTTCAGGGGGCCTGGGCAGGGCAAGTCCAGAAGAGCGCAGGTGCCGTGCCGGTGAGCACTGGCCCATCCTGACATTTCACTAGCCATTAACCACCGAGTGAGTTGCTGTCCTGTGCCATTTCATGGCCCAGCCACAGCACAACGTGTGAAACAGCAGTCTGAGCACGGAGGAGATGCTGTAGACTCTTCGCGTAGAGGCTGGGTGATATGTAACCACCGACAGGCAGATGGCACCAGCTGGATATCTAATTTGTAGGTAAATTGGGATTTGTTGCAATGAAACTGTCTGATCGCACCCACTCATGGTGCTGTGGCCTGTAGAAATAACTCAGCCTTTGGTGCTCTTCCCTTCACAAGTTTTTAAATATCACTGCAGAGCAGCGACTGGCTCGAGCTGGGCACAGCAGTTGCCAAAGTCTTCTCCTAAGCTGTCTGCCTGCGGTGCTGCCGGTACGCAGCAGTGCAGAGCTCTCGGCGAATGAATTGCACAGTGATGGGCCAGCGAAAATACAGGCTGGTCTGGTGGAGATAATGGTATGGTTTTGCCTCAGGAAACTGCTTCATTTTATGTAATGAGGGGCCAGCGTGAGTTTCTTGTCAATCTTCTTGGAAAAAATCAACCTTCACTAACAACAAAAAAGCCCTTGAATAGGCAAAGATTAGGTACCTGTCCAAGGAGAATTGCAGTGTGCTCATGCAAACTGATGGGGTAATCACCTCTGCGGTCAGGCTGTGGGCTGTGGGGCATTTCTTCCGTTTGATACCCACGTGTGAGCAATGATCTGGCACTTCCCCGTCACCATCTGTGCACCGAGAGCAAAGACTTTGAGCTGAGGGGACTCCAAACTCAGGCTGCAAAGACAGCTCGGGGGAGGATGCTATTTTCTTTTCTGAAGAGCAACTGGAGTCTGCATGTGATGGATGTTAACCTGCCGTATGATATGTAGACCAGTTTCTTGATTTTAACCGTGCTTCTAGAATGAAATGTTGTCGCCAGTTTGCTCAATGCTCCAGATTAAACATGTTGTAAAATACAAAATTATATTTTTATTAAAAATATTTTTGTGACGTTGAGTGCAAAGCTTCTGTTTCATTTCTTGAAAAGATTGCGCAGCCTGACTGTGGGAAGGATGCCTTTGTTAAATGAAAGAATGAATGTTACATTGTTTTTATAACAATCTCAGAAATGAAATAAGGTTATGGTCTGTAACAAATTGTAACATCATCCTACTGTTTAATCTGTCCAATTTCTCTGTCTGCCACATGAAGTATAGAGTACCTTAGGAGAGGCTGTTATGATAACTGCAAGTGGTTTCTGTTGCTATTTGTTTTTCCAATGACAAATAGATAACTGTAACTTCTGTTGGAGATTGCTGGGGCCAGTGCCTAAATAGAAGTTTTTAAATAGAATAATAGGGTAGTTCAGGTTGGAAGGTTAAAGGTCATCTACTCCAACCCCCCTGCAATAAGCAGGGGGACATCTTTCACTACATCAGGTTGCTCAGAGCCCCATCCAACTTGACCTGGAATGTTGCCAGGGATGGGGCATCTACCACCTCTCTGGGCAACCTGTGCCGGTGGTTCATCACCCTCACTGGGAAAAATTTCTTCCTTGTGTCTAGTCTAAACCTGCCCTCTTTTAGTTCAAAACCATTGCCCCTTGTCCTATGGCAACAGGCCCTGCTAAAATGTCTGTCCCCATCTTTCTTATAAGCCCCCTTTGAGTACTGGAAGGCTGCAATAAGGTCTCCCTGGAGCCTTCTCTTCTGCAGGCTGAACAACCCCAAGTCTCTCAGCCTGTCCTCACAGGAGAGGTGTTCCATTCCTCTGAGCATTTTTGTGGCCCTCCTCTGGACCTGCTCCAACAGGTCCATGTCTTTTCTATGCTGAGGGCTCCAGAGCTGGATGCAGGACTCCAGGTGGGGTCTCAGCAGTGCAGAGTAGAGGGGCAGAATCCCCTCCCTTGACCTGCTGACCATGCTTCTGTAGATGTAGCCCAGGATATGGTTGGCCTTCTGGGCTGGAAGCGCACATTGACGTCTCATGTCCAGCTTTTCATTCACTAGTACCCCCAAGTCCTTCTCAGCAGGGCTGCTCTCAATCCCTTCATCCCCCAGCCTGTATTGATACCGGGGGCTGCCCCAACCCATGT